CCCCGCTATCTCAGCAGAGAAGCAACGTGGCTTCCACCGAGCTACTTCAGCCGGAGCATGTCTTGACGGCTCCTGCTAGCTACCCCGTGGATTTTATCATGGAGTCTCAAAATTGCCACCTTATGACGCAATGGCAGAACATCAAAGTCAAGGCGGCTGTCGGCCAAGTTCGACCTTCTGAACCCGGTGCAACTTTTCACTATCGTCCGATTCCAGAAGGATATGCTAGGGTGACGGTGGACGAAATAACGGAGGGATTTGAGGACCTCCAGCTTGACCACCCTACCGGTGAAGGGGACACTCGCGGCTCGATTCTGCTCTGAAGACTCCATGCCTATGGCGGAAGGAGTTCATCAAGCTTCCAAACTGGACGCCTCCTCCTCCTCCTCCGGCGAGTCAGGGAACTCCGCCTCCTCCATCGCCTCCTCCTCCGGCAAGTGACGATCAGGGCACTCGGCCTCCTTCTCCGGCGCGTGGCGGCACTCCGCCTCCTTCTCCGCCTAGGTCGACGCGCCCGAGCAGTCATCAGCCTCCTCCTTCTCCGCCTCACCAGCAAGGGCGGAAGAGACCCGCCGCCGCCCCAGCTGCTCTGGCGCGTCGTAGTCCATCTCCTCCGCCTCGTAAGCAAGCACGAAAAAGACAAACGCCGCAGTCGCTCCATCTGCTCCGGCGTCTAGCAGTACAGCCAGCAGAGGCAGGTGGCAATACAAATATAGTCCTTCTCTCAAGCCTCTAGAGAAGTTACCGTATGAGAGGACCAAGGAGAAAAACGCAAAGATCATGCAGGCCGAAGTGGACGACTTCTTTGAAGGGTTGAAAGCAAAGAGACATCCACCTCCGGAGGAGAAGGTAGATCCGGTGAAAGCAAAGCGCACTCTCGATGCCCTGAGGAAACCAGCAAAGTCTCCGCCGAGAACCAACTATGAGCGCATTACTGAACAGACATATCTCGAAGCGGAGCGGTCAGGAAGTACTGTCAGACATCAAAGGTCAAAAGAACGAGAAGCTGCGAAAAAAATTGGCCAGCTCGGCGAACAAGCAAATCAATCATGCCCCCCGCTCAATGTGTCTAGCGGCGACATCGTCGCTAATGCTGCAGGGACGGTGGCTGGTTATGGCAATCTTGCAGATTACCTGCCTGACGATCAACTTCCTGATTTCATGGAGGTGGACGAACACAGATACGAGTATGGGAAGCCTCTCCTCAAAGATGAAAAATCTCTAACAACGATGATGCGAAGATTCCATAATTGGTACATGAAAACCTATAGAGAGTCTGGGGGGACGAATACTTTGTATCTGAACATTAAAGAGGAGCACGACCTCGTTGGAACTGATCTGTTGCCTGCTCAATTTGAGGAGTTCTTCCAGTTCTTCAATCAAAAGTCCCCCGATAAATTAACAGTCTTTTGCTACTGTCCGTAAGTACTATTGTTGTCATTAAGTCTCTATATATAGCTCAGCTCTTTCATTGCATGTATTTATAATTAATTATCCTCACCATATTATGCAGGTTGAAGATAGTCGGGTGCAGAAAACAAGAAATATATGATATTGGGTTCATTAACACAAATATCATAGATGAAATTCAGGTTACAAAGCACGCCGAAAGGCCGAGGCCAACTTGCTACAATCGTTGATCAAAAATCAAAACAAAGATTTAATAATCTTTCCTTACAACTTCGAGTGAGTGTTACTGTCGTGTTCATATTCGGTTTCCCTTATTACTCGAGCGAGGTTATAGTAATGTAATTGATGAGTTATGCATGCGTGCGCAGCGTCCACTATGTTCTTCTAGAGATTAAGCTTGAGCGGGGACTAGTAACCGTCTTAGACTCGAGACGAAAAGATCCCGAAACCTATGCGGTCATGACTAAATTGCTCAACAAGTAAGTTCAATCGATCATTATCGCACCATATCGGCAACTTTTTGTTCATTTCCTGATATCTTAAGGAATAATAATTATTTTCTTTGTCTTGCAGGGTTTGGGAACAGTTCACCACAGAAGCTCTGGGACTACCGAAGGAGCTGCGATATACATACCCGAAAGTAAGTACTACTAGCTAGCTAGCTAGTTGCGCGCATATCCCGTTGATTCTATAGCTATACTTTCATCAATGCCATTTATAATGCTTCATTATCAGTTTGATTGACCTCTATTTCTCGTAAAGTGCTTGCGGCAGGAACAAGAGAATGATTTCTGTGGATACTACGTGTGCGAGTTCATCTACAACGTGACTTTGAAAAATAAGCGGGGCTACTCTCAAAGACAATATGAAGTGCGTAAGCAATAATATTCACAATTTCATTTTATTACACCATCATTTCTGTTGAGTTTCATTCATATATATGTATTAATTAACCCCCTTCTTCAAATTAGACGTGGCAGATGCGGAATGAACTCCTAGAACAAGATCGCATGAAAGCAATTCAAGACGAATTGGCGGGATTCTTTCTTGACCACATCATCAATAAAGCCGGAGAATACCATGTGGAAGTTTATTTCAATTGCTAGGGGATTGTAAGAGATCTTATATATTGTATATGTATGTAGCCAGTAGCGTGGGATAGATAATACGAAAACTTGTTGTTCGACCAATCTCTCGGAGAAGGAGAGGTCGATCAATCACTTCTCTCGGTATGCATGACGAACTTCTGTACTTAATGGTTCCCTTCATTTTCTTACTAGCTAGCATGTCGAGGGCCTCTCTATGTATAGTACGTAGCGTCGACCAAGTATGGACATAAGAGAGGACACTTCTCTCTATTAATTAGCTAGCTAACACAATATATGAAACACCTAAATTAACCCCCC